GAGAGAGAGAGATAATAAGGCTGAACTGTGGCCAAGTAAATTTGCAACATAAGAACATTAATGCAGGGTATGGAACATGTCAGTCGTCCGTGGTACTTAACCATTTAACCGATACTTAAATTCACCATTTACACTCCTCCCGACTGGTAATCGAAGCGGGTCGGTACCCCGTGGTACTTAACTATTTAACAGCTAATTAAATTCCCCATCTACGGTCCTGTCTTCTTAATGGAAGTGGGTCCTAAGGACAATTAACGGGCCAGATCGAACGCTCGTTAAAAACGCTATCACGTCTTCTTAGTTTCTGTGCGCGTGGAGAGAGGAGAGGAGAGGAGAGCAGAGGAGTGGAGGGAGACTTGCAAGGCTCGTCTCCTCGGCTCCCGTCTGACCTCTGTAACGGAGCTCCAACGGTGAAGATATATCGGAAGGAAGAAGGAGCCCTTTGTTTGGTTTAGTCATCGACGACGCGGCCTTTTGGACGTCGGATAGGGATGCCGACGATCAGATACCAGATAAAGAACGAGTATGGCTTGGGCAGGTCGGAGCTCTATGGAGCTGCGGACAAGAATGACCCTGAAGCACTTCTCGAGGGTGTCGCCATGGCTGGACTGGTCGGCCTCTTAAGGCAGCTTGGCGATCTCGCAGAGTAGGTTTATATTCTCGTTTTTTCGGTAACGAAGCTTCATCCTCGTTCTTGCATCCAGAGTGAGCTTTTCATCCTTGTTGTTACCTCAAGCGTGATTTGGATCGGTTTCTTTTCCTTCTTTTCTTTGGGTGGTTTTGGGGAAGAATGAAAGGTGAGAGACGATGTCACGCGTTCTTGGATTCTCTTTTTCCTCGTTTTCTCATGCCAGTTTTTGGGTTGTTGAGTATCTCTGTGGTGTTGGTTTGGTGTGATGTTTTATGTGTGTGGGTATGTGTTGTGATATTCTGCTGGGAAGCGTGGTTGATTCAATATCTATGCACACTGATCCTTTTTTTTTTTTTGCTTTTCAGAACTTCTTTTTATGTTCTTTGTACTTCGTGGTGCAGATTAGGGAGAGATTAGGAACATGATGAGGTCTGGATATTCTGAAATTTTGTTTTTTTGTATTGCATATGATGATGATCATCTGCAATTGGTATGAGATCGGATTGTCTACTGGCGCCTTTGGGTTACGTAGGTCTTTGTCATAGCTAAGTTATGGATTCAATTGCTGGAAGGGAGGAACAAAGGGCAAGTTAATTTGTTGCATACATGATGAACAATGTCCATTGCTACACTTTTGATGATCATTACATTGTAAGAATTTTATTTCATTCAAACTGACTGGTTTTTTTAGCTAAGTAAATGAACCCCTTAACAATG